AATGAACTCCATTGCCAAATCCTCCGACATCATATGTAGAATAATTCACTGCTACAACTTCCGAAACATCAAGATTCAACAAACGGCGGAGCTAAAGCCCAAAAACGGTTAAAGAAACTACTGGGCAAGAACAAAAAAAAATAATGTCTAATTATGAGTTTAAACCAAAATAAACTAACTATTTTTTAAAATGGATTTCAACGGATAGTAACATTCTGTTGCCGTAAATTTCAGGTTTTTAGCAACAGCTGATTTAAACCAATATTTTAAATCATCTCCTTTTTATAGTTAACCATTCTTTTCAAATGTTATAAATTTTACAACAGATAATCAACAACAATTTTTAATTTTCGTCCAAACCAGACAGACCCTGGTAAACTGCCCCCAGATAATTGGAAGTTATACATAAGGTGGGTTTTATGGTCTTGGATTTGTGCAGTATTTTCATTGTTCAAAATGAGTGCTGGTGGGACATAAAAATGTTTCCGTTTATCAGAGTTGAATCGATTTACTTGATTCACTGAACTGAATGATCTTTTATAACGATTTTATTAATTATCTGTCTGTACTGACCTCAATTCCTGTGATCTTCGAATCCCAACTGAATTCGCTCCTCCAGTATAGGAGATCCAATTTTTTGTACAGGTATTCAGCGGTGGTCAGGTAGCTGACATCGCCAGTTGCTCTGTACAGCCAGGCGGCTCCCCAAACCAACTCATCATCATAACTGTAGGAGCTGAAGAATTGTGAAAAACTCTGTCGTTAATTAATGCCCTCCGAGACAGTTAAGTGTATAACTGTGATGTACGCAGCTGTGTTACATTACCAAAAACGTCGTGCCTAATAAGTTTCTCTTTTCTGCGAATAATCCCACCGTGTTTTACGAGACATTGCTTATAACACTAGAACTCTTATAAAATAACTAACTCCCCGGTAGCAGAACCGCAGGTCAAACACCAAAGCCCACCACCGTACATTTTAAGCCAATTTCAAAGTAATATAATTAACAGCAGTGTCTTAGTATTTCACTATTATTTGTGATAGTGTAAACTATAACAAACACCACAGAATTTAATTCAATCATGATTAATGTTTACGTTAAGAGTTTGTAGGTTTCAAAATGAAATAAAGACTTTAATAATACTTACTTATAGGAATCCTTTACATCGATAAAATCACTGTATTTTCCGCGATATTTATTGGCGAAGTCAAAAAGCTGCTTTGCGTGTGTGATCAAAGTGTTAGCATAGTTGGAATCTGTTCTATTGAACACAATGAAGGCTGCAGCCAGGGCAGCGGCCGTCTCTCCAGCCAGATCTGACCCTAGACACACACAGAACTTGAACTGCAATATTTGTGTACTGGGATTATAAATATACAGACAATGCTGTAGAATAATTCCAGAATAAAGTTTCAGGTGCCGTAGTAAATGTGATGTATCTTCCAATTTTAGATCTCGGAACTGAGGACGATGAAATAATGTAGCATAGGCTGCAGTGCCTCCTCCGGATAAGTTGTGATCATATATAAAAAAGGACAATTTTGATGAAAGTTTACCTGGATGCGATGTATTGATCTTGAATGCGGGTCTTTCCATTGTCATGTCCTCGGGGCGCCCCCAAGTTGCGCTGTCCAATTTTCGTAGTCCTACTTGCCCGTAGAATTCATTCTGGCTCACGTGCGCCTTCAGGAAATAGTCCGTGGCCCATTTTATGGCTTTGAGACCATCATCCAAGGCACCTGCAGATAACAGTAAAGTACTGGTTGCCCGAAATGTGAGCATAAGGCTACTGCTACTCTCAGGTTTGGCCCCAGTTTTGCAGTCGACTGTCCTCTGTCTTACTGGCCGAACCAAAAAACAATAAAAAAGTTGGCACTATGGTTTATTTATTCTAAAATAATCTTGGCACTCTTGTACTACTTGTTTATGTATTTTTATTGATTTTGATGTGTTTTTGAAGCCCCATTTGTTCCATGTTTATGGCTGAAGTGGTAATGTTTGCCTACATTCAATTTAGACAAATCCCTCCACTTCCCAGCATCGACACTTCAGGTCTGAAGATGGAAGCAGTATATTTTCCTAAACATTAGCACTTACCTACGAGTCTACATGGTGCCAAAACCCAGAAGGACATCACCTTCCTCCTCGCCACCCTAAAAGAAACTCAAATCTTTACTTATTATTTGCTGATTCAGTACACTGAACAGAAGAAGGTACTAGGGCACTCAACACTGCTGTGTGGTCGGCCTATGACGTACCTGATGAAGTGTATCCTCCTTCATGGTCCACGAGTCCCCAAGCCAGGACAGTGGTTGTGTACGCCATAGCGAAGCCGAACTTGACATAGTCACCAGCTGCAGGAACGTAAAATGATAAAGACTACCACATAAATGGGGTAATTCAGTTAACATTTCGTGGAACACGTATCAACTAAATAAAGAAAAAACAATATTAAGCAGACTAAGTAGGCTAAATTTATTTAGTTATTACCTGAAACACAATGTGGATTTGAAAGAAAACAAATATAGACATACATTACAGAATAACATTTTTAAATTAATGATTTATAAGTAACTTTAGTACAGTCCTTCATGAAAACCACATAGTTGATCAGCTTGTCAATAAATTCCCTGTTTTTTATGAAAACCGAAGGTTTATTGCTGTATCCATAAAAAAACCCAGTGTCCCGTTTCCGGGGAAAGTTGAATCCACCCTCACACTCTAGTCACTTAGTGAAAAAACGAGGAAACAGAGCAGTAATTTGGGTGATCATTCATAAGAGATCCTACACTATGTCAAATACTTCGGTTTTTTCTTTGTTTTAAACATGATGTCTTAACCTTTCTCTCTTCACACACACACACACACACGAGCAGGAAAACACAAGGCAGCCTACAATCAATGCCAGTTTTAGTTACACTCAATTTGTTCTTATTATTGTTTTTTTGCAGCCGAAGTTTCAGCTTAAAGGTACAAAAGAACTAAAAGTTTGTGTGTTATTATTAAAGGAACTGTAATATAGTAACTGTAAAATATTTTGCATATGGTCGTGACAAATGGGTCTTCCATTCATAACTTCTAACATACCAACAGATGGGCAAGTGTTGAAATATAGAATTAAGTTCAGTTTATTATTAAAACTCTCTAGAAATATTTGATAATTACTCACATCTGAACTGTATATTTTGAAGGGACTGGCATTTGAAGTTGTGGCGCACTTACAATCATAGTATCCTCCTGTGAGGTCCTCGCCATTTTCTCCCTTGTCATTGAGGGCTGAATCCTTCCTCCACGTGACCTTTTGATCAGGCGGTAGTTTTCCCGATCTCTGAGCTTCGTAAAAGAGGAGCGAATCGCGGAGTACTTCCGCATAATCGTAAGCTGTAACACAAAGAATAACCGTGTCCACTTATAAAATACAAAATGAGCTGGTCTTAGACAGGATAGGCGAAGGAAGAAGTCTATGGAAAAATCTTACCAGAAGAAGAGATAGGAAGGTGGGACACATTTTGAGGAAATGGTAATGGAAAGAACAGCTGAAGGGAAAAATTGTAGGGGGAGACAAAGATTGGAATATGTGACGCAGATTTTTGAGGATGTGGGCTGTAAAAAATATGTGGAAATGAAGAGAGTGGTGCAAGATAGGTGAAAATGGAGGACCACATCAAACCAGTTGAAAGACTGATGACAAACAAACAAACATGAAAACAACTCCTACTTCTGCTCATATTCACTGGCTCAGGATAAAATAACATGATAGGCCTAAGTGTTTTTTCAAACGACTTTAATGGCACACGTCACTTTTGTCAATAGATTTGAAACTTGGAATTGGATAGTTGTGATCGATAAAAACGTCCTTAGAAACTGGTAGCAAAACGGCCTGATCATCCGCTGTTGTTTACCTTGACAAAGTGCAAGCGCAGACAGAAGGCAAATGATCTGCATTTTGATTGGCACTGTTGACTCTATGGAATTGGTTGAAATTTGTCTCTCGTTTCGTATTTATACGTAACACCCATATCAACTAAATGTCACCTTCAGTGTCAAACTTGGTTTCGGCCTATAATTTGAAACTTCCGTATTTGATGTTGAATGTGTAAAAGCAGGTGAAAATGTTTAGAACATATGGTTGTAAAGGATTTATTTTTAATATGCCCACCCCTAATATACCATTATTTGTTGAACATACAATATGATTTTTCTGAAGGACATCGGATTTTATAATTATATAATTGTCATGACCTTGTTGGCCTGCCTACTGTAAGTTTCTGAAATTCTCAGGTTTACAGCATTTATATAACATGACAATAACTCACACTTCCTGTGATTCAAATATATGTTGTATTACATCACTTTCATACACGTTACTCTTGTGAGCCAGATATTTTGTTACGACTGAATAAAATGTTCTAGGTATTCAACAAAGACTGAAGAGTCGGACCATTCGTTTATACACACCATTCCCAAACACCACTTCGTCCACCCTTCAGCATCCATTCTTTAAAATGAACACGGGGAATAATAAACATCTGTGGGATACTATTACCCAAAATATTGACGCAGGCTATGCATGTAATATTATAGCCCCTTTCCACTTATGTAACACTGCCTACTTGTTTATTGCCCTATTAAGTAACAGCCTTGTAATAATGTCTGGAGAGTGTATAGTTATATTGGCTGTTTCGTCCAGATTTTAAATATTGTTTGGAATAAATTATAGTAGGTTAAAATGTAGTCGCTGATCGATAAACAGGTAAAATAACTTACACGTCAAACTAAAGTAAGGTGACACTGATGTACTAGTTTCCTGTAACAAAATGGCTGTACGCATAGATTAACACAAATAAGATATGTTGTCATGAAACCATGATGGGAGGATAATCTCAGGCGGATCTATGGGAGATTGGAGTTGAAGGAAACTGGATTTTGTTGGCCCAGGACAGGGTCCGGTGGAGGGCTTTGGTTAATTCGGTGATGAACCTTTGGGTTCGGTAAGCCATCTAGTTAGTTAGTTAGTCATGAAACCATATGCAGTACGCCAGATAAACTGTGTGTTATAATCCGTGGCTATCGGTCTACGTCCGTAGCTGTCGAAGGCTTTGTGCGTCGGTAAATGTGTGGTGATACGTAAGTTTAGGTTTGTTATTTTGTTGACCTTCAACAAATTAAGCAGAGAATTACAGAACTTCCAGATTAAGGTTATCTCTTATTAAGGGCTCGAAGTAGACGCAAGACGGTATCGCCAGTTAAATGTTCGAAGCCCATAGTATTAATACCGAGCACAAGGATCTTATTCATGATGTTGCGTATGACTTCTATGGCCTACGAATGGCTACCTGTTCCAGTGATCAGTTTGTTAAGGTAACGAATGTTCTGTTACACTGAAAACTGCACTTGCGGTCTTCTTTGATTCATTCCAAAAAAAATAGATTTTTCTAAGGTTTTGACATATTTCATAATGCAGGTATTTTATATGTTAAAATACGACAGCATTGCCAAGTACCCAAAAAGAGTCCAAGTCATTATGAACAAGCCACTGTTAAACCTAGAACAGACATAATGCCAGCCTTTTTTGTACGTTATCAGAACATATGATAGTTTTAGAAAAGGAAAGAATTATTAGGATGTGTTACTAATGCATACTCACACAATATAATGTGTTTAACCCAGTATTACATGAAATTGTGTGAAGTGTTGTTTGTTAATCTTAGCAATTATATTGTGTTGTTATTCTTCTGGACTAAATTCATTATCAGAAATTCTAAAGGAATACCATAATGTTTTGGAAGGGCTTGTCAGTCCTACTCTCAGTCTCTGGTTGCCTTAAGTGAACTAATTTGAACCTGATAAGCAACAGAAGACTTATCAGCAAGAGATAATAAGAAGACATGGAATAAAAATTACAGTATTATATTTGAAGATTTTAAAACCAACAAACCAATAAGACCATAATTAAAACCATCAAATGAAACTAAAAATTTGATACCAAACACAATATATATATATATATATATATATATATATTTTTTTTTTTTTTCCTAATTCTCCTGTGCCACAACCGAGAAGACAACCATATTCAGCCTTAGAACTCTTTCTTTTTAATATACATGTTAAGTTTGAATTAGTTAATGATGAACAGTTTGAATGTTAAGATAATCTTGGATGCCTATTACCTGTGAAAAACTAGACTGATATTAAACTATAAATGTGAGAAATTTAAATTGAGATATCTATGAGTACATATTATATACTACAGTATATTAAAAATGTTACATGATCACTTATTGACAATATAAGAGGAAACAATGTGTGTAAGTACTGTTGTTTTTAAACATGTCTTTAAATGATTAAATCACAGAACAAAAGAATGATGAGTGACATGAAGAAATTAGTGCTGCTTGCATGATGAGTTTAGAGAGAAGCCATCTCAAAGCAAAGATGATGTAAAGTAAATCGTTGAACCATATGTCAGTATGGAGATGAGGATGAGAAAGACATGTTTAACTGGAAGATTCATGTGGGATTAATTGTATATGTTTGTAAGTTGAAAAAAAGGTGTTTTGGGAAAATGTAGAGACATGAAAGATGAGATGGCTAACTCACAGGATTAAAATTATTGGAAAGACAATGAAATAATATATTTCATAGCTACACATTGCATTGTTTTGACTTACCTATAAATTTGCAGAATTCTCCAGGTCCAAGTTAATTTGTTCATAGGTGTGGGACCAGGATGAACATGAGAATTGGAACTTGACAGCAACCTGGAAGGCGCATAGTGGGTCGGTTTGGAAGGTAACATGGGCCCATCCTGAATTTGGACAAGTTCTTGCTACATGTTCTTTTGATCGTACTGCTGCTGTGTGGGAAGAAATTGGTTAGTAAATTTCTAATATTAAAATTCAAAATAAAGATTATACACATTCTTGGAACAATTTTTCTTGATAGTGTTATAAAAATATTAAAATATGTGTATGAAATGAAGTTTTTCTTTCTTAGTTATTGTATGCATTGTTCGTGTAATTTTATTATGTTTATTGTTCATGTTACAATATACTACTTTTCTTTGTTGCATCAGACTGAATATTTTTACTCTTCACTTTTATGTGGTATTCCCAAAAAACCCAATTTTTCCATGAAATCCATGTTGGAAGAAGTAATATAATTTTCTTTGATCCTTAATTTGTGACTATGGTTGATTCATTATACCAGTGTGTTTGGCACTGTCTTTGAGCTACGTTCGGCGTACACAGTGTACTTGGAGTTGGCATAATTACTCTTAAATATGTAACTATCTGTTTTCTTTAATAAGAGAAGGAAAAACATAGGTTACCATTTACATTGCTTTGCCGATACAGATGCATCGCAAAGTTCTTCACACTACCTAGAGTCAGAAATTACAGAGCAGTTCTTAAAAAAGGTTACAGCCTTATTGATGCAGCAGCTCGGTAAATATTGGCTACTGCTTGTGCAGTATAGTAGGAAGAATAGAAGTGTCCACCACAGTCGTCAGTCTCCCAACAATAATTTCAGTTCAGTGTAGGAAAGAAATCTAACCATACTACCAATTTAAACACAATGGTGAAGAAGAAGAAGAAAAAGGAGGATTGGTTTTTTCTCCCCCAACTTGTCCCTTGTGCACGTGAATGTGAAGTTTTTAAATGCTCGGTGATTGGATTCAACACAAAATGATGTTTCCAACTGTTAATTTTGTAACACTGCAGTTGGTGAAAGTCCTGTGCCTGGCGAGCGAGGGATGAAACATTGGGTCCGCCGAACCAACCTGGTGGACTCTCGAACTTCTGTTACTGACGTAAAGTTTGCTCCAAAATCTTTGGGACTTCTTCTGGCTACCTGCTCAGCTGATGGGGTTATGCGAATTTATGAAGCTCCTGATGTCATGAATCTTTGTCAGTGGACATTACAGCATGAGGTGTCTTGTAAACTTCCATGTAGCTGTCTTAGCTGGAATCATTCTTTTTCCAGGTAAAAATTAATTTTGTATTAAAGTAATTAATTTATTTAATGAATTACAAGGGTGTACTGAAGAGTAATGTCTGTATTTTTTTCTAAGAAACAAATCCATTTAGTGGCATAAAGTAAACCACTCTTTAGGATACAGTGTCAATGCAGAATGAAGTATGCGGTAATCGAGTTCTTCACTACAGAAAACATTCCAGTGATTGACATTTCTATCACTATGAACTCATGAAACTACGTGCACATTGACAGAAGCACATGAAGTGCAGATGTGTCTGTGTTGAGAAATAATTTTGTAAAATTACAGAGTAAAATTCAAGAAAGCACCTGTTTTTGTTCCAGTGAAGTATCTGTCCCCATTATGGAAATAATAAATAGATTTTTCTTTTCAGCATACCTTTGTAGTTTTCATTGGACTCTGAAAAATTTGAATTACTAGCCAAATAATGGTTCTTAATGTATTTGCAGATTACATCATCCTACGTTGGCAGTAGGAAGTGATGATTCAAATACTGGCAACGGAGGCAAAGTATTCATTTATGAATACAGTGAAAACTCTCGCCGTTGGTCAAAGACTGAGACATTGGCAAGTGTAACAGAGGCTGTCCATGACATTGCTTTTGCACCAAATTTGGGTCGCAGCTTCCATCTTCTTGCAATTGCTACAAATAATTTGCGAATTGCCTCTTTGAAGCCTTTGGTGTAAGTATTGTGTCTGACCATGAATGTGTGTTGACAAATGGATAAATGATTGAGGGGTATGACTTATGAAGTACATGCTGTTTTTTTTTAGAATGAACCAGGGGAAAGCTGTCGTGAACATATTTTTATTTCATTCAGTGCACTTCTTCGGAGTAAACACTTGTATCATCTTTGCCTAAGGTTTTCCGTGCTATTTAAAATAATACAGTGTGATTTTGATTTAATTGAGAACTGTTATGTTAAGAGTTTGGTACATGCTAATGTTTATTACATTGTGTGGTGGAATCCAGTTAATCTTGTATGAGAGGTGTTACCTGAAGAATTTTGTTATTACATGTTTTAGGGACAGCACAGTTCAGAGTGGTCACACTAGATTTGATATAAATATGGTTGCTCAGTTTGAAGATCATACCAGTACAGTGTGGAGGGTGTGCTGGAATATAACTGGCACTATTCTTGCCTCTTCAGGAGACGATGGTTTTGTTCGCCTGTGGAAATGTAAGTGATAAATGCAAAAGGATTACTTTACAGTAAATTATATTTGTAATTTATGCCTATGCAGAGGATTGTTTCTGCTACCTGTGGTACCGTGCAAGCACTACACAAAATGAATACAAGCATTTCCAGGCAGAACTCATGCCAAGGTAAGTTTATATTCCATTATTTGAATGTAGTTTAGCTAACTGATTAGAATGCCAGGTTCCTGTGTTGATAGTCATAGGGTTTAGGATTTATTTTTATACAAGTTGGAATTTTTTAATTGAAAATACATTACAAAGATATGGGGTATCGTCAGTAATTGAGATTAGGTCTCTAATAGACCACTCAGTCAGTGTACTTGCCTTCCATCTATCATCCTGAGGGTGGAAACAGTTTTTGAAATGTTCTTTTCAAAATACCAGATGATGGACAAGCTCAGAATTTTCCATCACCGGAACCCTTTACAGTTACTTCATGAGTATATTTATAATCTCTCTTCGTAACAAATTTCATATTCCTAGCTCCATTAGTTAATTAGTTATGACTGTAAAGCTGCAATCTAAATAAACGTGACTATCATATTTGCTCGATTTTAAGATGCACTTTTTTCACATTTTTACATTTCAGGAATCAGGGTGCGTCTTACATTTGATAGTGTCTTACAATCAAGAAAATATGGTATATATCACTTTATACATTATATGATTTTTTAGTAGTCACCATATAGAGAGGGCAGAATGATTTTATATAAAAGATGTAATTGGTGCTCAATATTATTTAGATGTTTAAATTAAATGATGCATTTACTAAAAGATTATGCAATAGAAGAAGCCCACATTATCTGTGTATCTGCAAAATTTTAGACTTACAGTACACTTGGTAATATGAAATATATTACTCTCCTTAGTAGCAAATGAGAATTAAACTGATGTATTGGAAAGGTGGTGTTCCACTTTTTCTCATATGCTAAGAAGTATGTAACGTTTAACTTGAATTACTCCTCATTTTTAGCCAATTACTTGAACAACTGGAAATCTGTTGCTGTTCTGAAGGGTGATGGCACACAGGCTCAGACTGACTCTTCTACGCCGGCAGTTCCGGGTCCATCTGGTGGTGTGGCAACCACCAGCCAAAGCTCCACAACCAGGTATTATAAGTTGGGTACCATAAGCAATCCTAACCAGGTGCCTTGGCATTGAGATATTTTGATTGAAATTCGAAGTAGTGTGTCAGCTGAAATCACTGGCCAATTTGAGTGAATATGGTTTGTGTTTATAATGAAAGGTATTTTATTGGTAAGTCAGTTTTGAAGAGTTATGTTTATGACTGAAGTGAGCTTCATCAGATTGTGGGACATGCAAGCTATTTTTGTACTATTATTTTGTACTTTACAATTTGTGAACAATTTGTTCCGTGTAATAAGAATTAATAGAAACAAAATGTTAAATTTTTGTAGCTTTTCTTGGCTTTCTTTATATAAAAAATAAAGTGTTGTAGATGTGAATCTGTATTAAGTTTTCCTCTTCGTATTCTATGCATGATTTGCATGCTCCTTTGTAAACTAAGATTCTCTTGTATCAGTGACTCCTGTGGTGAATTAAAATAATAAGGTTCATTGTAAAATTTGTGCTGGTATCAATACAGAACACACAAATGGTCAGAGAAGGGAGGAAATTCACACCTTTGGAATAAACTAACATCAGAAGTAACAGATGAAGTAGTAAAATATGTGTTACGAACTTGTCACTTGAGAGAGAGTAAGAACTTCATAATTTGTACTTTTCAATATATATTATTAGGATCATGAAATCAAGGAGAAAGAGGCAGAATATGTGTGTGGCACTTGAGAGAGATGAGAAATTCAAACAAAATTTTAGTCAGAAAAGCTGGAGGTAAGAGACCATTTCTGAGACTTAGATATAGATGGGAGGGTGATATTAACTTACACAGCTTAAACACGATCCAGCTGCCCATGTATTGCAATAGCATACTATTAAACTGTAAACCCAGAGTTAAAAGTATGGCTGACAGTCCTGTAGTATGGGGATTTAAATCCTATATTGTATGATAAAGATTAATACAGATTTTTAAGAAATACATTGTGGGTGTATGAACTGCATTCATCTGGTTCATGATAGAATATAGTTGTGAGTTGTTGAAAACAGTATGAGTCTTGAGATTCTATTAAAACGTAATTTATTGACTGGCGGAACAACTATTAACTCTCTAGGAAGGAGTTGGTAAAAACTGAAGATGATTCTCTTTTGGGTTGTAGTGCTGTAATAGTCTGGTAGAAATTTACCAATGCTTTAGAGGTACTTGTTACCTCTGTTATCAGGGTGAAGAGTCACCCTGATTATGTAAACTTCTGTCAGACTATCTAGCACAATAACCCACAAGACAGCCATCTACATACTCAACACTGCGAGAACCTCAAATCTCACTTGGTAAGAATAGTTCATAGTTTTTTTAATTCTTTCAACCTCTCTCTGCCTTGGTGGTTGGGGGCTTGCTTTTATTTTTGTGTTGTATATAGGGGTAATTGGGTTGTGCAGAGTATCACGTTTCAGTATCTCCAGCATTTAAAGCTAAGTCACTGGTCTAATATGAAAACAAGTTTGAAATTATGAATACTGGTCTGTTAAATGTTACCATTACATACAAAATTTTATGGGTTCTTTATTTGTTGGAAGGCACTGGTCTTGTGTTTAATAATCCGAAAATGCAAGTAAGACATAACTAGTAAAGTCCCCCTATTGGATACTTCAGGGGATTTGATAATGATAATTCTCTTTGTGTAGTTATAAAAGTTGCAGAATTTACTACACAAGATGCACAAACATGTGCAATGCAAGGACTATGTAGAGCAGCTTATCACAAAATATTGTTTCTTGAAAAAAAAACAACAAAAAAAACCATGTGAAATACTAACAGATATGCACTTGTGACTGTGAATGTGAAGCATAGCTGCCGATCAGACTTGCATCTTGGTGGCCTCTATATTAAATTCATCAGGCTTCTAAGTGAGTGTGAATGTAGTATCTTGAAACAGAATAACAAAATATCACCACGTACCTGAACCTTCAAGTTATTAGTACATTTGCCAGCCTTCTTCATTATTTCCATAATTCTTGTAATATGAGCATGATGATTAAGCTAGAATCCAATGGAAAGAATCATCCTCCAAGTATTGATGCCAGTTGATAATGGAACATAACGTCTTGTGTAGTTGTGCAGACCCTCATAAGTGCCACAAGAAGAATTCTTCCAGTAGTGCCCCCTTCGTTTAAGGATGTCAAATACTCGGAGGAATGTTGATGCGTCCAAGTCTTGTGGTATGTCTGTGGGAGATAAGTTCATAATAAGCATTTTGTGTACACACTTTTCAGGTGTGTTGTGATTTATATTGTAAGTTTATCATTTTTAAAGTTGTGTTTTGCTGTATTCTTACATATTGGTGGAAAGCAGAACAGGTTGTCTTTGAGGTGATGATAATACAGGTTGAATGTTCAGTGCCTTAGACTATTTGTGTATTCCTACACCCTATTAAATACCTTGTGCTGGTTTTCTTTTAAGTGCTTGGTATGGAACTATAGTGTTTCTGCAATGTATGCTGTGCATTAACTAAGAGCCAGTTGCTGCTTTGATTACATACAGCCTATGTAAAACATAATGGAGCAATGTCACATTCAGAAATAAAGGTACAGAATAAGGCATAGGATGAAGGAAGATAAAAGAAAGAAAAAGATAGGAATGAAGAAAAAGTATGAAATGTAGACTGATGTTTTCAATTAAGTATCTTAACTCTTCTTGTGTGGGGCTGCATAACATATACAATTTAAAGGCTTTGACCACTGTCCTTGTATATTGTTGTATAGTTTAGACTTTTCTATTAGTAAGTTTTTATGTAATTTTGATTCTTTTGATTTATTTTGTGTTGTAAAAGAATTTTTTTCTGGTGTTGGTTTAAACATATCGTCTTGTCTCCCAACTGAAGTAATAAATCAATGTGAATTTTGGCTTGCATCACAAATTGGTGTTGCAAAAAGTGTTCTGATAATGGCATACATCTGAGGTGGGTAGTATGATGTACAGAGAATTTGTTACATTAATACTTGTAACTGATCCCTTATGGGTACAGTTTAGCTTGCAAAATGTAAAGTTGTCCTTGTGCTTAAGAATGTGGCAGGAAGACCTTGACACTGGATGGAGATGAGTGACAACGTCGTGTCTGGGGCCTTAAGATACAGATCCACTAAGTTGTAGGTTTTGCATCTTTATTTGTTCAAGGCTTAAAAATGTGATAAGTGAAATAAAACTTTACATATTGAGTATATAAGAACTTCAGTTTTATTGTAGATGTTGCACAGACAGAATTTTCATAATATGAAATACCTATCAGAAAGGTTGTAATGCTTGATACTACTATATGTTGGATACCACACTTTCTAAAAAGTTGGGAGTTTTGTTGTTGAATAAAGTTGAAACAACTGTGAGGAACTTCAGTGCACAGTTCTGCAGTCAGTTTAGTAAGAGTTCGTGTGCAATTTGCTGCAGTGTTTTATTCCGTCAGATGATAATTTTGTGTTTTTGGTTGGACAAAGCTGATCAACAGCTGTCATTGTCCGAGAATCATCACTGCCTTTATACTTGTGGTAGCTGAAAGATTATGACCTTAGATAGGTCATTGATTATAATGACTGGCTAAAAACAGGATTACTGATGTTTGATTATTAGCAGCAGCGAAGATCTTTCTCCTCACAATGTCCATACTGACTTCAGAGCCCACTCGTGTCTAGTGTCATGGTTAAGAATGCATGGAGCATTACCACCACACTACCATGTCTTCATGGTGTGATGTATAGTCACAGGGGCAACTTTACCTCTAAGTTTATTTGTACAGGCACTCAAATGTACAAAGTAACCTGGTTTTCCTTTGAAAGTTGGTCTGAAATGGACTGGACCTTAATGCTGTTAAGACACAGCCATTGTATAACTCCTTAAAATATTCTTACAGTGAAAAACACTAATTTTTATACAGTAGTCAGTAATCTATAATGTACTACTGCTAAAGGAAATAGTCATTAAATCTATCAGACATTTGAACTATTAGTATCTTTAATTTATGTAATGTAATAAAGTATTTTATAACCAGAAATAAATCATTTTCAATTTTCTATGTAAAATAAAGCAAAATTGTCTCATGCAGTGAACCTGAGGTACAGTTGGACCCGCAGACAACTGTCTTTAGACTGAGAAATTTTTGAAGCAACATAAGGCTGTCAATGTTCATTTTCTGGGTTACAATTCTGTGTGCACTGACAGATTGATACCAGCATTTCAGGGAAAGTTACTCTCTCCATCTTTAGTACTGATGTGCTGAAGATGGAGACAGTGTATTTCTTCGTAACGTTAGTATCTGCCTACAAGTCCACGTGGTGTTACCACTCAGAAGACCAAAACCAACATCTTCACTGCTATGAGAACCTCAAGGCTGGTTCACTTAATGGCAACGTAGTAAAGCATACTTACATAGTCTGTAAAGCCCAGACATCTTATTTTAACTTCACCCCGTTTAAAGAGTTATTTTATTTAATATGGCCGCAGAAATGGAGATGGGGAGCTATGTGTTAAATGGTTACTGTGACTAATTTTAACGGACATAAATGTTTTGAAGAGTAGTTGTTAATTTTTCTATATTCAAGTGTATATTACATGATTAATAACCATTTTATTGACTCAAGGACTATTGAATGGTAACAGTGAGAAACACATGACTGTTTATCGGATATGTTGCATTTATCTAGGACTTCAGAGGAAACCTCAAGCAAGTGGCAAGCTCCAGTAATAAAGGGAAGATTTCAGAAGATGACGTGGCTTGGCTCAGATCCACCCCCACCACCCATTGAAAAAAACAAACCATTCAAAAAATGACTAAGGTTGAAGGTATTTTAAGTCATGTACATAGGTGTTACAAGGATTATGCTTGCTTAGTGAGCTAGAATAAACTGAGATACCTTGTTCATTTGTCATGTGCTTGATGAATCATTTTTGCAACTGCATATCCTACATATCCTTCCAGTCTTTATACTACACACTGTTACATCACAAACATGATTGTTATTTATTATTAATGCAGTTTTCTTTTATGTTTGGCATTATCCTGTTGTATTACTTAATGTCACTGAGGTGACTTCTGACAATCATTAAGAAAGGTTACAGATTTGTTCAAATCCTGTGTGCTGTGGGGGATTCTACCAATAGAACCCACTTCTCCATAATAACTCTATTGCCATCACACGTAAACCATTGAAGTACATTTCTGAATCAAAAGCAGTGATTATACACACGTGCAAATTAAAGAAGCTAAATGTTCCTTTTTCTTTGTGTAGTGCTGGAAATAGAACAATAAAACTGCTAGCAGAACCTGAAAGCTGAGCACTACTAATACCATAGTTGACCATTGGACATGATCCTGTCATTTGCATCCACTTCCATCTTACATCTCCCTGAGATCCATTTAAATTTTATCTTCCCATCCTTGGTCTTCGCGCTATATATTTTCCAAGAGGTTTCCCCACCAAAATTTTATGAACAGAAAACAGACATGATGGTAACAAAAGTTTTTAATAGATCAGTGGTGACAGAGTTTTAAACCATGAGTGAAAGGATTAAAACTTTATTGTACTATACTTCCTGTGAAATGTGATAATTAAATAATGTCCTGCAGTTTAGTGAAATCCTGATTGTTTCATAAATCTCGAACCTATGTAGTGAGTTAAAAATGTATAAGTAATAAGATCATGGCATAGTATGGGTTGGCTTGGTCCCTAACCTGAGCCAGATGAATCCACTCCACACCCTTTTCTTTAAGATCCATTTTAATACTAACCTGAGTACACACATCTTTCAGGTGGTGGTCTCCCTCTTTGTTTCCTAAACCATTTCCAATATTCTACAGAATATTATTCGGGTAATGAAATTAAGAATCATTAGATGTGTAGGGCATGTAGCATGCATGGGAGAGATGAGAAGTTCAGGCAACCTGAAAGAGGAGACCACTTGGAAGACCTAGGCATAGATGGGAGAATATGAAAATGGATCTGAAAGAAATAGGCCATGAGAATGTAAATTAGATTCACTCTCTGAGGATAGGGTTCGTGATGGGCTCTCATGAACGTGTTAATGCACTTTTGGATTCCACCGAGGTCAAGGAATTTCTTGGTTAGCTGAGTAACTATTAGGTTCTCTAGAACAACTTTGCTGCATGAAGTTGGATTTCAAAATTTGAACAGGATAGTGCCATTTTTCCAAATGACATATTTGCTTACAGGTGTGTTTTTATATAGTTCCTGCATGGCACACATGTATTGATTATAAGAAATAAACTTAAAAAGTATTGCTAATTGTTGCCATTAGTAACTGAATGTAATGCAGTTCTGCTGACAGTACTAGTTGAAGGAATATCTTCATGTAGGTATCAAATTTTACTTTGCCATTTGCCCTTGATGTTTCTTGCATGTTTAGATGTTTAATTGCACAGAACAAATGGCTTAACACCCATTTATTCTCATAATTTACTGGTGAGAGTAGCCATGGTTATGTACATATGCATGAAGAACCTAAGTAAAGACATTAATAAAATGCTAACTGTATGTACCATAACCAGACTCTTATGTGCACATATTTAATATTATGTCACCTTTATTTTTCAACTTTGCTTTAGAAATATGTCATTAATAAAGTCCACGAAAATGTGTAAGTTTTAGTACTGAATGGAACAAATAACTTTGGTCTCTGTCAATGACATTGAATTATTTACTGGCTAAAAACATAAATACCAGAAAGAATAACAAAGAGAAACTTGCTAGACTCTAGTAAGGAGGTTTATATAGAAATAAGCACAGAGAAAACTAAGTAATTGTTTGTGTCTCATCATCAGAATGCACAATAAAATGATATAATAATAATGATTTTGATATCTTTGCTTACTCGTAGGCATATCCTAAAGTAGATGGTATTGCTTCATCTATAAATAATCATGTTACTTTTTGCTTTGTTTTAATTATTAATCTGTCTGTTTCCTAGGAACTTTATTATTATTATTATTATTGTATTTACTTTGTTTTGTTGTGCTGCATCTGTAATTGGCCGACTGGCTGTTGATGCAGCACTCTAATAAAAAGAATTGAATTGAATTGAATAACTTCTTATCTCGCATGGAAGAGATTACAAATTTGCAAAACTATAATTTTTATTTACTTTTGTTTGGCTGTGCAAGTTGATGTTTCACTATTAGAGAAATATATAGAAGGTGGATTGTGGCCTTCTTAGTTGTAAAGCCACATAGTCTTTTAGGTGGAAACAAATGTTTCTGTGGAATGTATCATATGCACAGGCTTCTGATTTGGTCATTTAGTTTCAGAATTCCAGCCCTCCATGATTTTCTTGGACGTTACTAATGGTATATTTTAGAATGGTTTGGATTTGACCCATGATTTTCATTCTTATTAACAGTAATGTGGATTGGTGTCATTTTAATGGGATTGGGAAAGAATGTACGTGTAGGGGGAGAGTAGTTCTAGAAGACTACAAAGTATGAAATAGATAAGGTAGTTTACTGACTTGCCTTGAAAAAAATTCTGGGTCAAATTTGAACCACCCCTTAATGTGGATTGGAATTGCATGAAAGGAATGATAGATTCTTGAATTTCATGTGACAAAGTATGTACAAGTTACAATGAAGCAAACAAATTTCTTATGTATTTAAAATTCAATAAAACGGTTTGTACAGTTAGCCAGGGGTTCTCAGCCTTTAACACCTGGGGCTTTTTGCATTTTCTTATAAGAATGAACAATTGATTCATGGGCTGCCAGGCCATCATATTAAAATTGTTGTTCATTTATAATTACAAACAGATTCACAAACTCCTCAATAATCAGTTAACAAAATCTGCCATTTTTAAGAAACTTGACTACAGTTTTGCTTCGGTACTTTGCAGTATCATGTTTAATTTTTGTTGTATGCATCTGCCCATGTGTGATCAGTAACACACGCTGTTCATTAATCTGAACAGCTGCTTAGTGTTAGATACTGCCACATCTGATAACAAAATAGAGTAACACTGTTACAAAAAATGTATATGGGCTGCACAGAACAGATTGGTGGGCTGCATGTGGTACTCTTGTACTATGCTACTATTTGGAATTTTTAACTTTGTTTTAAATTTGAAAGATGTGGTGATAGTTGATCTATTATGCCAGAATCAATATTAGTGAACAAAAATTTAACTCACATTCAAAGTGGAAAATGCTAAGCAGACACAGAAAATTGACAAAGGGCCATCCTCTTAAATATGTTGTAAGGTACGAGATCTTCATCTAAAAGAACTTGTATATTTCAAGTGTATTTCAAAGACTGCACTGCAGTGGAACTGTACATGATTTTGAATGCTGAAATAAATTAGGATGTTATTTTCATCAAGGTACATTAAAAAGGTTTCAGCATTAATAATTCATTACAGTTATGGCTGGAACTTACTAATATGATGTAAACTAAAAAGATAATATTTTGATATATGTAATTCATTACAGCAATTCAAATCTAAACTTTGTTTTTACTTATTTTTTGTATAATTAAATGCCTGGCATTTGGTCTGTTAATATTAATTGTAATGACACTGAACCTCTTTCATTTTACTCATAGCATGTTTATTAAATAGCTTAATGCTTTAGAATATTAGGTGTGCTTATTGTTGTCAAAATATTAACTCTGATCTGTTGATTCATATGTATAAAGAGCGTTGTTAATGAAATGCAAAGCCCCTTTCTGTTTTGTCAGCCTTCTTGTTGTATGAATAAGTTGAAGTGCATGTGCTTGGGAAAATGTCATTGTTATCTGCTTCCTTGGATCATGAACCAAATTTATTGCCATAGTTCTGTTTTTTGTCAGACTATAATGACAAAAGCTGGGTGTGATAATTGTCAGTATGTGACACAGTGCACACAGTAACTAGTCCCAGAGAATTTTCACACTAGTTAAATTTTTATATTCAGTTACACATTAAAGTAAGTTAAAAGCAGATGGATGCTTTGAATCAGTAACATGAAACATTGTACGTATAACACAAGTTTCTGTGACATTAATATTATGACAATTCTTAGCTTTTCAGTAGTTGCAATATGTGTGCTGTCCTGTTTCCATGACTTTGTAATTTTCACAGGTGAAAATGTAGTGTGTTACATAAGCCAACAAAACACTTTACTAATCACAACACAAGGAGCATGTGAACTAATTTCTTTTGAGAACTCTAACATATGGCATATTTGTTTAAGCAGAAGTTAAACGAATTGAGGCTGATTTTGCAATTGCATTGTGAGGAAGAGAAGCTTTTAGTGTGAACTGTCTGTTTGGTGTTCTATATGTTATTATAGTGTTTTTTCCCCCAATTTTGTTAAACCAAGTTAAAAATCCAAAGGAAAGCATGTAGGTAAATGTGTAAGCCTGATATAGTAATTTCTGAGGTTACAAGACTGAATAGGTTATTGTATTTGTTTTGACAGACACAGTTTCATAACCAAATATCAAAGTGAACAGTGTAAAATTTCAGTGATACATATGTATAACAAGCTGTGTGTTGCGTTATTAAAAACGTTTATTATTAGGTAAGTAAAGTGTAAGTTAGTTCAAGAGTTAGAATCCCGTGTATATCACAATGTTGTGACAACCTGTAGACTTATAGGTAGATTGCAATGTTTAAGAGAATCACTTTCTACATCTTCAGGGTTGAAGTGGCCATGCTGGGAAGTGGAGAGATTTATACAGGATGACAGGGCCCTTATACCTATGACCGATTAACTGAAATTTTCTCGAAGACAGTGGCACATTGAGTTGGTTAATTAGTTATTGTAACCTCAGAAGTTACGTAGTGTCAAAAGTCATGTTACAATGATTGGGAATGATGTGTCAGGAGAGATTCTGACTCAAGCAGTCAAATATTGCACAGCAATGTCTGCATATCTAATTCCAAAGTCAGTTTCAAATTTCCAAAGACAAGTATGGGCTCATTACTCTTGAGATACACATGCTTGGTTTATGTACTGCAATATCTTTAGATATAACTCATAAGTAAGCTTAGAACAATTGTAAAGTTTGCTGTATGTCTTCTGGTTCTTAATTATCTCCATAGCAGTAGCTGAGAAAATATAGTTGATTCGTAGTGTTTTAGTTGGTATATTAAAATTTATTATTAAACAAACTAAATTCCATAACTAAATGTTTCATAGGATTGAAAAATATGTTTATTAAAGAGTTGAGTAATTATTAGTCTTTGGCTTGTGGTTTTATCCTAGAAGACCACAATCTACATTTTCATTGCTATGAAAACCTCAGATCTCATGCATTTATTTATCTGGTGCTCCAGACAAAATATTCTTAAAGGCCATGCAGTGTTTCCTCTATGTCCATGACAATGAAAATAATTCTGTGTTCGAATGTTTCACATGTTTTAGTATAGGATGTATTTTATTCTCATATATATTCTTCCTGAGGAAACCTGACCCATATTTCAGCAAAGAATTATTTTACACAACCTGTAACTTACACAGAATTCTAGGACATGATATAAGGGAAATGTTCAAAGTAATTGAGAATATGGTTTTACATTGATTATTATTAACATCATGTACTGGTCAAGGAAATATAAAATATGTAAAAGTATAATTAATATTGTGGCATACTGTTTGCTTTTTTCTAGCATGGTGCCGGAGAGAGCACAAATCCAGAGAGGAGTAATGAATCCCTACCTGTTTAGACTTAGGAAGAGTTTCAATTCCATATAAATTGTGGCATGTTACAATACTGCATTGGCTGTGAATACCATTGTTCAGTATTACTGTATTGATTGATATGCTAAACAAGAATTGTTTACACTAATTTGGCTGTTTTACTTTATGTGTTTGTAGAGCTTAAGTAGGCCTTATACATAGTTGGATATTCTAAGACATTGGTTACAGATAAGATCAGAACAGTTGTCTCTCATATACAGTTTCTTAATGGGTTGAGACATATTTATGAATTCACCAGTATAATTAAATATGGAATGGGGACTTACATCTTTCATAAAATTGATATTTGGTCAGTATCTGTAAATACTGAACGTTGTTTAATAATTACAAGATTTTGTTAGTATAAGTTACAGTTACTGATCATGAATATTGTTGTGTGTTTGGTACAGTATTCAAGACAGTTCTGTATTTAGTTGCCAGTTTGATGTAGGGATGGGCTTTCTGTTTCCTGTTGTCAGCAGAATTTGTGTTGCAGTTTTGTTCATGTCCAGAACTGGTATCCTGATGTAATGGAAGTATCAAATTTTACTATGATTAATGACATACGTTTATAACGGAAAAGTAATGTTTGGTCTGTACCAGTCACGAAAGGTGCTGTTCTCAAATTTACTGTTCTAACCTTTAAATTAATACTTATAAATCCTGGTATTAAATACTTAATGCCAGAGGTGGTTAGCATACTGTAGACAGGCCTATTTATGACTTACTTTTATGAACTGTTAGGGTATGAAACATCATAATTGTCATTGCTTATTCTTCAATATGTCAGGAAAATAATGCACCCTAAGCACTGTCATCTTGTGCTGCACTCTAAATATCTTTTTTACACAATTTACTTCCATAATTAAAAACAGTGGGAGAATTAATTGTTCTTAAGCTGTTTGTACTAGTGTTGCCAACCTCTTTTCAGGAGTATTTTAAGTGATGATATAACTTTGCTTGTACACACAACTGAGAGTGGAGAAATCGGACATGAATTGTCTTTCCAGTACAGTGATAAATATCACCAAATCATGTGTAGGCCTACAGTTTAAAAAAGGACACATTTTTAAAGCACTTAATTCATTTGCACTGTGTTTTAATTAGCATTGTTAATTTAATCAAATTTAATTAATCTGACAAAGTTTTTTAAAGTATCTTTGTGGGGGTGGGGTCTGCCATCTCTGTCCTATAGTCTCTTGAAGTAAATGGTAAATATGATGCAAGACAAACATGTTCATGGACTATGACTGAGAATCCACTTTACTGCCATGTGGTGTATGCAGTTGGTTTTATTTAGTTATTAATAGTAAACTGCAGTTTAAAAATTGTTCTACATCTTCAGTTTTCTCAAATAATTATTTAGGTAAGTAGAAAACATGTGCAAATATTTACATTGAAGCATATGATGGAAATAAGCCTGCTACCATCATCAGGTATTTTAAACCAACAAAGGAAAATGTGTCCAAGAATATATATAATTTGAAGCTGAAATTATGTTTTGATTTGACCATACTAATATCACTTAATACAAATTATATCACCAATTGAAAAAATTAGACTCACTAAACCATACTGAACCCACTGCTGAATCTTGTTCTAGAAGTCAGGATGTGGAGAAATGCAATATAACTAACCCCACCCCCCACCCCACATCACCATAATGCAAAGGAATTTTAACAACAACATGCCATTGTTGTGTTATATAATAAAACAATTTATTTTAGATTCCTCCAGTTGTAGTGGTCTGGCAGTACACTACTAGCCAGACTGGAACATATACCACTGATTGAACCATTAATGTTACTATTACATTAGTGGTTAAGGGGCTTACGAGTATTTCTCATCAGTATTGTTACTCAACGTTTTAAGGATGAAACACAATGTCTTATGTGAGGATACTATAATATAATATTATTTGAAGATTGCTGTCTTCTGGGTTATTGCGCCTTGTATTCTGGTAGATATCCACCAACATTTCAGAGGTCCATACTGCCATCATCTGGCGCCGCCCTAGTGATGGAGGCAGCCCGGACCTCTGAAACGTTGGTGGACATCTACCAGACTACACGGAGCAACAACCCAGAAGACAGAATTCTTCAGACTCACCGCTGTGAAAACCTCAAATCCTACATAATATTATTTATAAATCTATACTTCAAAAGAACATTTATTTTATTTGTACTAACATTTCATATTTGATCAATGCACAGTATCTATATTGAGTGCTTTCAAGCACTGTACTATCTAAATATTTGTTAATTATCTCACACATATTGAGAAAAACAGGAACAGTATTAATAAAGTGATGTGAAACAAATGTAACTGGCATGATAAACACAGCTGAACTGTGATACAAGTGGTTAAATAAATTATTTCAAATATTGGTAAAGTAAACAGCTGATATTGTTATTTTATGTCATCAGTCCCATGTTTAACAGTGTTAGGCTTAATAAATTTTCTTGCAGACTTGAAAAACAAAGGAATATTAATTTAAGAAAGTTTTATGTAAATACAGCTGTCTGTACGCTGTTAGTGTGATCAGCTTTATCATATGTAAACAGGAATGACAATATTACATTTTATGAGCACTTAACTGTATTTCTAGATTCAGGTAAACAAGTCTTGGTATTTGTGTAGAATCTAAAAGAAATGTGAGGTACGTACATTATCACTATCTTATGTGCAGCATTGCACCAAAAGAGATTCATCACATTACACTGCTTGTTCATAAACATATTTCAGTATTTATGGTACAGTAACATTTTGTGAATAGAAAGGAACTTAGTAAATTATTGGTTGAAGGAAAATATATTAAATATTGCAATTATTTTATGTGTATTCAGTGACTTTACTTTAATCCATACTGACATTCCTATAGTAAATGTATTTCATTACCAGCAATATCAGTGGGACAAAGATATGAAGCCTTGAAAAAAAATGCTGCTCAAAATATAACTTGCGTAGAAACTCTAGCATTTAAAGTGCCTGCTTCCAAGCACAGGGAAGCCTGTTTTTGAATTTCCTGGTTGAATATGAAAGAATAAACTTTATACAATAAAATGAAATCATTTTAGAAATTATTCATACTGTATATAGAGAAACTTTAAAATATGAAAATGCCTGATTTAAAACCAAGGCGTTTAAAGAAATTTCAGAACTTAACATCTTGATGTGCTTGTGTTTTTTGCCTCCTTTGATTTGACCATCAAATTCAGAGAGAGGTGCACAACTCATATGTGAACACAAGTCTTGAATTCAATTAAATGAGCTGCAATACCACAAATAAATTTCTAGCTCAGAGGTGAAACAATTTTCATTGTTTTGTTCTAATGAGCCATCTTCAAAAGAGCTAACTGCAGCAGGTAGAAAATACTTCCTCTTTATATGCTTTATGACTTTTGACTGCTGAAAATCAAACGCTGCTGCCTTATAAAAATCAAATCAAGAAGCTGACTGATTATACATTTCAAACCACTCACACCATGTACACAGAGCAAGACAATCATAACAAATGCATGAAATCCCAACTCTGTGTTCACAAGGCTTAAGTCTTAAGACAGTTGGTTATGAACAGATCAGTAATCCATTTTATAAGCAACATTCACTGTAGCCACCTAAACAAATCAACCATTGGGTGTTTCAAATGCATTTACGTTTGTAACTTGGGGAACACATTGGGGGGAAATGTGGTAACATTCAATAAAGTAGTGTTTTACTATTTGTTGTGCACTTCTGCTCTCTACAGACCTATTCAACCAGTAATGCTTCATTACTCCTTCTCTGTATTAGCTAAATGATTGGTTTTATCCACCTGTGTATCTAATAAAAAATTGTTACCATAAAACACTATTGCAATGTGCTTCTCTCTGTCTTTGTTCAGAACTGTTGGTGTCTTAGTCTTCAAACAAATAGTGTAGGTTGAATATGGTAATTTATTATGGGCAGTACTTTTTGTGGCAAAAGGAGGATAAAGTTTTTCAGGACCTAAAAGTCAAGAGATTCTTTGATCCATTACTGTGGGTAGTGTGGATGGAGGGGTGATGGTTGGGCTTTCTTGGATAGGCCAATACGAATCGAACGCTTGAGAGATACACGGCTTCGATTGGCCCTCTCTTCTGTGAAGTACTTGCATGTGTTTGGTAACTGACATTGATCCTTCCATTCAAAGTTGTGTTCACCTTTGGATGGAGCTATGAAAGACAATGTGACATTTCAAAATTTTGACAAATGAAGAAGAAATGGTACTAGTGAATATTATCATAAACCTACTATGTTATTTTTATTAAATTACAATATCTCACTTTTGAAAATATGTGTCTACCTTAAAACCACTCCTTACATTAAAATGAAACATGCTTGACTCCACTGATGTAGATTTTCCAACTTTTAAAAATTTCCCTAGCATATGTGAGTCTGAATCAAGTAGCATCTAAAGAAGCACAATTTTTCTGTTAGAGAATTTTACTGGAAGGTGGAAGAAATATTTATTTTTGTTTCTGTAATTCTTAATTTTCATCAACTATTAAATTTACAGGGGGTGACATAGAACTGAACCATTAGTACCTCAGCCTAATTCTTTTGAGGTTCAGATCACTACTGAAAAACTGAAAAGATATAAATCATCAGGTGTTGATATTATTATGGTAGAATTTATCCAAGCTGGATGTTAACATCCACAAATTTACTGATTCTGTTTGGAGTAAGAAAGAATTGCACAGCAGAAGAAAGAATCTATTATTGTACCTATGTATCAGAAGGATAATAAAACTGTTTGTAGTAATTATCAAGGAATATCACCAGCTACACAAAATTTTATCCAGTGCTCTTTTATCAAGGCTAATTCACATGCAGAAGAAATTATTGGGGATTATCAGTGTGGATTTTGACATAATTCATCAAATGCTGATAAGATATTTTGCATTTGTCAGATACTGAAGACCCGGGTTCGATCCCCAATGGGGGAAGAGGATTTTTCCTCTAGCTTCTGCATCCAGACCAGTTCTGGGGCCCTCCTATCCAATGGGTACCGGGGTCCTTTCCTGGGGGTAAAGCACGGCCAGGGCGTGATGCTGACCAGTGACCCCAATCTAGTGCTGAGATCAAGAATGAGTAGGAGCTATAAACCTCTCCCCCCAAGCGCCTACATGGCGTGTAGTGGGACAGCTTTACTTTACTTTTTACAGATACTGAAGACTACAGAGTATGAAACTATTGAAAGTTGCATACTAATATAAATCTGACAATCGCTTCTGTCAACATTATAATCACCATCATAATTATGTCAATGAGGACTGGAGAAAGGAAGAGTCACAGTTATAAATAGACTGATTAATTTGAATTTACCTTTTATGATTTGGTCTCTCATATACAGCTCTTTCTGATTCATATCATCTCCCATCCAAGAAATATCTTTTGCAACATCTGGAACCTTGTGATCTGAGTCTACATCCATTTTTGAAGTATCTTGTAATTCCTCATCTTCAGAATCGCTCTCATCATTATTATAATCACAAAAGAAACCTTCATTGGTCTCTGACTTCTGTGACTTTGAACTAAGGTTAATAGGCAACTCACAAATGTCAGGCTCTACATTTATTGATTCCAAGATTTCATACCTTGCTTTCTTGTGTACAGAAACAGACTCCAGGTAGAGAGCTTCAATGTTTCTCTTCAAAGCTAAATTCTGATGGTTTCCATCTTTCAAACCATTATTATTAAATTGATTGTAATTGTTGAAACACAAGAAACAATAATTCTTATTCCACAAGTTGCTGAAGCTTCTTATATTTGTTTGTACTGTAACATCTCGTGTTGGTTTTGCCTCTGTATAACATGATATGTCATTTTCATACTTTTTAATAGCCATGTCCACACATGAATGCAGAGTGTCTTCTAGATGTCTGTTATGAACTTGAGCCATTTGATTGTGACTGTAGTTATTCTGTATACCAGGACAAGATACTTGTTGTGTTTGATTATTTACTTCCCAACAATCTGATACAGACTTTGAAGCTGAATTATAAAAAACGGCTTGTTCATTCTGACCAGGTAGATGTTGATTTACATCACTGCTACAAACGTCATCTGGTGAAACTGATCTTGTGAAAATTTGTGATTTTTGTGCAGATATGTATTTTGGACTTGATATATTGCCCCTTTTCATATGAGGTTTATATCTGTTATGAATTTTGCTATTAGCTTCAGTAAGGTCATAGATTTCTTCCTGTGCCCCATGTGTCTGTGATGTAGGTACATCCACCTGGCTTTTGCTTGTATTAGTATTACTTGGTAAAGTTAGTGCACATACTTTGTTTTGAACATTTTCACCATGGGCATAATTACTATCACATGCTGAAAGTATGGGATGAGAATAGTATCTCTCTTCTGTATGTGTCTTCTTAGTTTTGGGCCTGTTCTGTGGATTAGCATTATCTGACAGGATCTGAACTTTGAATTGTGCGTTTCCATCTGGAATTATTGTATCAACACTGAATATTTTTTCACTGTTGGGTAGTGAGAGCAAGGGATTCTGTTTTTCATTTCTTTCATTGACTTGATCTTCATTTCCATTTATATTTTGGCTGATTTCAGATTCCAATTCAAGGGCATTTTCTCTGTACCAAATATCTGAATCCCGAATAGTTCCAAATGGAACTACATGGGCATTATTACCACCATTCATGTCAAATGATGGTGAATTCAACAGTTTCGTTTCTTCATAAAATATCAGATTATTTTTTGAGTGAAAATTATGTAATTTATTACAGAGTTCATTAAAACAAGTATTTACATTTGATTTAGTGTTAATAACCAAATGGCCTGACTCAATTGTGTGCACATTTTTGTTAGAGTCAATAAGTACTGTTTCTTCTTCAGCAGTTTCATAAGGAACTGCGTTAAGCGTGTCATGAGGCATTGTCTCTGTGTCCTCTTTTCCCTTATTAACTTCTGTGACAGCCCCCAGCAGTTTCGGTATATTTTCCTGGTGAATGTCTTCACATTCTGTGAAAGTCTCACTGAGACTGTCACTTCCATCATCAGGTTCGTCATCTGTGCTACTGTCAAGCCAATATGTAGGTAAGGATGGTTGAGACAAGCTCTGTAATTTATGGAACTTTATTATGGGATGTCCTCCAAAACCAGTTTCATCTGTACTGTCTCTTGTAAAATCACGTAAATGGTACACTGAATCAGCATCCATTGTTTTCTTCTGCATTTCAATGTCTGATAGTTCTCTTCCATCTGTATCAAGACCGTGTTCCTCCAAACTTGTTGACGCCTCACTTTCTATTGTGACATCATCTTCATGTAGCACAACACTTGATGTAAAGGGTTCATTATTTTTATTAATTACCTTTCTGTCATCAGAATATTCCCAGATTTTAACTGAACTGACCTTCCTACTACTGTCATCGAAAGATATGCATTCGGCTAACATGCTTGAATGCTTGTTGGAGCAACTTGAAATGCTGTTTGCGATACATGCAGACTGAATATGTCTGTTTTTACAGATTGCATTGTATGTTTCTAGTACTTGACTTTTCTCACCTTCCAGCCATGAATATGATGTATTAAACAAACTTATGTTATCAGTATACAATGGCATTTCTTCATTAAAAAGAACAACAGGCAAGGAATACCAGAGGATGTTACTTGCATGCAAGTATTTTGTTTGCCGAGTTACTGACAGATCAATTTTGCTGACAGTTTTATCTTCTTCTAAATCACTGATATGATAATCACTTTGTTCACCATGATTCTCAGAGGCACTTGCCATGTTGCTGTTTGAAACACACAACATTTTGTATGTTGTACTTGAGCCAGTGTCATGTACGTGATGACTGTTTATCGCACTATTACAGTTTTTAAGGAACTTGATCATTGTGGATATAACCGCGGTATCGGCTTTTACGAATGCCCGCTGTAAGTGATCAGCATAAATATTGCTTGCTGACTCTCCAGCACCCCAGGTATTTAGATAAGGTGCATGTCTGTGCATGCAAAACTCATTTATTTCCAGATTAAACAATAATTCTCTCTCATATGGATGTTTCTCCATTTGAACTCTGTCATATTTATGTGGACCAGTTTGTATTATTGTCAGAAACTGTTTGCTTTTGACAAAATCTGGCAAGTTCTTCAAAACAGTGACACTTACGTTAGGAACTCTGGACTCTGTTGAGTTACAGATTGTTCCAGAATGAATAATTTTTGTATGTATAATATGATGACTTTTGGCTTTAATTTCCATTGATGATGTAAGTTTGTCATTTTTATTGCTTGTTGGGTACCAAGGCAACACAGTAAAGGATGATGGAGACAGCAATGTAATGGTTTTACTTGTTGCATCCTTTCTAGAATAACCATACTTTTTATTTATTGCTTCTTGGTAATCTGTAATATGAGTCAGTTCACAGCCCATCATTTGAGGTTGTTGAATAACCTCTGCATATAATGGAAAAGGGTTGTCTGTTTCCATATTTATGTCAGACTGGGTATGAATATGCTTATTATAGGTTACGTCACTGAAGTTTAATTTAGATACGTTTGAACCACTGTTTTCAATATTTAGATGACAGCGCCTATCTGAAAATGGCAGTCATTAATTACTTTACTGAACGAACATTTTAAAACAGGATCTGTATCAAGAAATTAGTATTTTAGTAAAACAATACTGAATTTACTGCTTTGAATGTAACATAAGACTTCACATTATTTACAACTGTTTACCATTTTTTGTATATTTTACAGGAGCTGATAGTTGATATGATAAATTAAAAAATAGTGGCGGGCAATTAAAACAATCTTATTTTTCACAAATGCAGTATATTTTAGTAACAATGAAAAACGGTTCGATTTGTCCCTGCACTATACAAAATCTAACTACGCAGAACAGCTCAAGCTATATAACAGTGACCTTCACGATATTTCCCGAAAACTAATGTTTCAGAGAAATACTATAGGCTACCAACCTTTTTGTATAACCGGTTACAGTAAAAAATGCCGTGAATTGAATTACATTTATCGTCCGGTATGGGTATTATGCATACCTTGTTATTCATAATTACAGCTTTATCATTATTACCGTAATATATACTTACGTAACATTTCAAATACCAGTTCAGAGAAATCAGCTAAGTTTAACGATATTTTCTACAAACATGGGCGCAAAATGAAGGTTACTGTATCAGTCACGACAGTCGATTATCTTTATCGATGTTACCTATGGATATAGGCTCATATAAACAACTGGTGTCGTGGGCCAAAACCGAAGGACTAAGGAAAAGAAAATATCTGCAATAAAAACTTTGCTACCAACACAATAAGTAAGTAACAATAAGTATGGTGGTTCATCATACATTTCCTATCCATTCTCAACTGTGTAACCAAGGAGTGGGAGAGGCGGGGCTGTTGTCAGCGTGACGAAATACGAAGTACTTCTGCGTCGCCAGTGCTTGGGGGTGGGGGTGGGGGTT